GCGCGCATATGCACAGTGCCACTAAAATTGTTCTGCACATACACAGAACTGAAAAACAAGATGGCACCACCTATGGCGCCACCTGGAGAACCAGTTCGGGGGGGGGGCAGGCCTGGGTCACTGCCAGTTCCAGCAACCCAAGCTGCCAAATCAATACCGGTTCAGATGAACCGGTCCGAACTGGTAGGAACCCACCACTGGTTGGTTGGTTGGTTGGTAGGTAGGTAGGTAGGAAGGTAGATGATAGATAGATAGATAGATAGATAGATAGATAGATAGATAGATAGATAGATAGATGGATGGATGGATGATAGATAGATGAAAAATAGATAGAAAATCTGATTTTCTTTTGGCCTTCAAAATATATTTGCTATACTGAACAACTTGAAATAATGTGGGGCAGTGCTCAAGATAATAAAACATAGGTTCCATTTTGAGCAATTCTGACTATATCAAAATAGGATTAGGTGGGTGTGTTTAGTAAGTCGATAAATATTTCCTGGACTTATAGGTTGATCTGATCTACTGAGTGCTGCATAACTCCTTGTGTCTATGAATCAAATCAGAGAGATGAGTAATCAAATGTTAAAAATAAAATCATTTTCTATAAAACCCAGGAATCGATTGCCTAATTATAATAAGGCAAATTCATCATCCACAGGATGGCCACAGCAACCCTGATGAAATAACCAACTCTACTGATTTACTGAGAATCAGGAGGAAGGAATGGAAGGCTTTTACAGATCATACAAAAAATTGTTGGTGCTACTACTTGTGTAAAGAAGATGGAATTTAATTTAAAAAAATACAGCTAACACATAACTGAATGATCAGGCAATGAACAATCAAGGAACAGAAGCCCTGGAAGTTTGTAAATGGCCAATTTACAAACCTATTAAGAAAATAAGTTATGAGTCATCACCATTGATGAGCCCTGGTGGCGCAGTGGTTATAGTGCAGTACTGCAGGCCACTTCTGCTGACTACTGACTGCCTGCAATTTGTCAGTTCAAATCCCACCAGGCTCAAGGCTGACTCAGCCTTCCATCCTTCTGAGGTCAGTAAAATGAGGATTGTTGGGGGCAATATGGCTGACTCTGTAAAGCTTAGAGAGGGCTGTAAAACACTGTAAAGCAGTATATAAGTTTAAGTGTTATTGTTGCTAGTGCTAAAATCTTTTTCATGGTTTAGGTTTTTTTTATGGTAATGGAAAAGAGTTTAAGATATTTACTCTGATCCAAAAGAGATTAAAGGTAAAGGTTCCCCTTGCACATATGTGCTAGTCATTCCCTACTCTAGGGAGCGGTGCTCATCTTGATTTCAAAGCCGAAGAGCCAGCACTGTCCGAAGACGTCTCCTGGTCATGTGGCCAGCATGACTAAATGCCGCAGGCGCACGGAATGCTGTTACCGTCCCACCAAAGGTGGTCCCTATTTTTGTACTTGCATTTTTACATGTTTTCGAACTGCTAGGTTGGCAGAAGCTGGGAGAAGTAATGGGAGGTCACTCCATTATGCGGCACTAGGGATTCGAACCGCTGAACTACCAACCTTTCTGATCGACAAGCTCAGCCACCATCCCATCCAAAAGAGGTTATG